ACTGATATAAATCAAATATGTACCTTAAAATCGTTTAAAAAAAAAAAAAAAAAAAAAAAAAGACATTCCTTTTCAGTTTGGTACAAAAAAGAAGAAAATTAGGGCCGAGCGAGCAGTAGTTTACAATTTTTACTTAAGCCCAACGTTTCAATGGGTCCCTAAATATTTTTTGTGTTTTTCTCCTCCTATCTGCCTATAAAACCCCTACATCACATAAATAAAGATTAAGATATACATAAACCCTACTACTTTATTAGCCTTCGCTTTGTTGAAGCAGCGGCCGCCGCTCTATAGTGGCCCCTTACCATTCTGTTATACAGAGAAACCGCGGTCGAGGAAACTAAGAAATTTGGATTTTTTTTATTCCTTTTCTTCTCATTCTCTACCGCGTTTCTCCGTATAACGAAGTGGTTTTTGGGTCAATACTATTATTCTTTTCGGTCAATTGTTTGTATTTTTCTGCCTTCTCTATGACGACAATTTTCAGAAAATTTCTCAGTTTCTATGTTAATGACATGATTGAATTTGATTTTTCTTTTATGTGGTGGTATCAGTTAGATGTTATGACTAATTTCTCATAGATTTTGTAGTAGTAGGATATCTGAATTGTTGTTAGTGACAGTTGTGAGTAGCAAAATTTTACTATGGAGTTGGAGTTAAATATAGTTGTAAAGTAAAAATGAATTATAGTGGAAGTACAACTTTTAGGAGTACAATTTAGAACAAATGATTCATCAAAACACTCAGATTGCTAATATTGTTACTTGCTTAAGATTGAAATTTCTGAAATATTTCTCTAGTATGAATGTGATTCTCTTAATAATGTCTTGCATATATGCTTATGATCTTTACTCTGTTATTGGTTTATTGTACATGATCCTAAGGGCTGCAGTGTTAAGTACCTGTGTTGACCATTTAGCAACAACCCATTGAAAAGAATCAATTTCCTTTTTAAATAAATTTCATTAAATGTTAGGGCGAAAAGAAATACAAGTAGTATACCAAAAAAGTAAGGATTTCCTTATAAGGATGCACCTTGATAGAAGCACTGTAGAATAATTTAGCTGGTCTTTAAGCACTGGGTGGGTTCTATGGTCTGATAGGGCATCGTTTTTATATTGTAACTTAACTAGACAATTGTACTTTTATATGTATGCTTAGTTGGCCGATGAAGATAACTGACTTTAGGAATGTGGTTCAGGTGTTCAATGGCTAAAGCGAAGGACCTGCACCTGAAGACCAGCAGCTTTGAGAGTTTACATTTGTCTGGTAACTATGTAGTCCTTTTGATAACTTTTATGATTGAATTTAAGCTTCAGTTTTGGTACAAAGAATGACCAGGAAATGGCAAGATACTACTTCCAACCACATTATGGAATGCTCCCTTTTTAGTTATTATACTAGTATATGTACCCGCGCGATGCGCGGATCATTTAAAAGAAAAAAAAATGATATAGTAGGTCTATATTGCAGACTAAATTTAGTGATCACATTGAAAAGAATTAAACCAAAAAAATAAATATTTGAATTTCATCGGATTGTATCTATGCCAGGGACCACCAATTTTATGCGCTCATGCAAAGGTGAAGGAAAAAACTTGTCTCAAATTCAAAATAAAATCAATATAGATAATCAAGAAAAGAGCAGTCATATATTTCCCTTTGGAGTGATTGAAGTTTCTTTCCTTCACAAAATAAGGACAGTAAAAGCTTCTGCATCAACTTATTCAATATCATTCCCATTGTTCGAAGCATAATTAATCATCGCTTCTGCTTCTGCTGGAAAGACCAATATTCTCATTGAATTGTGCATAAAATGATACGTTTTGCACAAGGTGTCATACTTGTGCAGCTCCCAGCCGGCAACTGCTGCTTTTTTGTTCAATGTTTCAGTTACTTTCCCTGCATATCCCATTCCATCTTTTCCTAATTCCATTGTAACATCTTTAACTTTAGCAGTTTTTTCCCCAACATAGCTTGTTGCACTCTTGCTCTGTTCTGGAACGCTCTGTTTTGCAATTCACGTCAGGGAAAGAAGTTTTTGTTTCACCAGTTGTACTGATATTCTCCTTAATCTCCCATATTTTTGGGGCAACAAAGAATGGAAGGGAAAAATATAATGTCTGCTATGTCGAGAGAAAAAATAATTGTTTGAAGTTTGATCGAAAATATAACTCTTATATAAAATTGATAACAAATCTGCCTGAAGGAACGTGGGTATGTTGTACCCGTATTATAATTGTCCTCGAACATAAGCCTGAACTCAGTTTTTATTGGTTGCTTCAGTTTGTCAATCCATCTCGCACCAAATTAGCAAAAGACCAACCCAATCTCACCAACATATTTCGAACACTGGGTTCCCTTTACAGCACAATGTCAAAAATTTATTGATTTAGTTTATCAACTACACAAGCAAATGCATACAAACACTCAAAGTAGCTACTAGCAATTTATTCCACATACTTGACAACCATGAAAATTTAACTTCCTGTTAATATGTTTACACATCACAGTTGATTCGAATCTTATTTCCTGTGAGTAACAAAACCTGAAAAATCACGCATTATTGTTTTGAGTTAAAAACCTTGCAGCAAGATGAGAAGAAAAATAATGAATTGTCGACAGTAACGAACCAAAATAATCAATTGTCGACATTAATTCGTTGTAGTTCCTATATATATCAAGGTACCTTTTCAGCGGGCACATCATCGTGTAACTTTGTTAAATTATATGTCAATAAATTATTGAAAATGATCACCACTAAGAATCTATGTCTTCCACTTCCCATTAAACATCTCATCTTATAATAAGCAAAAGTGATGAAAATTATGTTATTCCCGGTCAATATTCCTGTATTTGTAAATATTAATTCTGCAAAATATAAGTTAA